GGCCAGGGCCAAACAGGCACCCACTCTCCTGCCCCTCCAGCCGGGTGCTGGGGCTGGACTGGGGAGGTGGGTGGCAATCCTCCATCCCCGGGCCCCCCATATGTCCCTCTGTGGACAGCCTTTATGTCTGATCTCTGCAGGATGAGCGTTTCAAGGCCCACGAGCTGCTGGAGCACCGGCGGCTGCTGTGGCACGGCACCAGCGTGGCGGTGGTGGCGGCCATCCTGAGGAGCGGGCTGCGCATCATGCCCCACTCCGGCGGCCGCGTGGGCAGGGGCATCTACTTTGCCTCTGAGAACAGCAAGTCAGCCAGCTATGGTGAGGGTCCTGCCATGGGCTGGGCTGCCTGTGATGCCCACAGGGTCTGTGTGAGCCTGGCTGCCCTTGCATACCCCCTGCCAGGCAGCTGTGGGCTTGCCGAGCCCCTTCCCTGCCATGGTAATGGGTCCCTGTGCTCCAGCGTGGCCCGGGCACAACCAGATGGGAGTGCCAGGAATGGTGATATCATTCCCTTTTCTCCCATGGCAGTGGGCCGTACATCTAAGAATGTTGGCATCATGTTCCTGTCGGAGGTGGCCCTGGGCAAGCCCTACCGCATCACCAGCGACCACCCCACGCTGCGTGAGCCACCTGCTGGCTATGACAGTGTCCTGGCCTGTGGCCGCACAGAGCCGGGTGAGCTGCGGGCAGGAGGGCTGTGGCACCTCTGGGGCTGTGCTGCACACAGGGCAGGGGGAGAGAGGCCAGATCTCAGGTTTCACGTGGTGCTGGGGTGTCTTTGGCCCAGATCCTGCACAGGACGAGGAGATGCTGCTGGATGGCAAGAAGGTGCTGGTGTGCCAGGGCAAGCCCATCCCCATGCCCGCCTACAAGGACTCCTCCTTCAGCCAGAGCGAGTACCTCATCTACAAGGAGAGCCAGTGCCGGCTCCGCTACCTTGTGCAGCTCCGCTTCTGAGGGTGCCTGGGAGCACCATGGCCCTGGCCCAGCACCAGGAGGTGACACCCACCAGCCCAGAGCACAGTGATCTGGACTCCCTGGCCACCCCACCTGGGGCTTGGCGAGGGACAGGCTGGCATGGGCACTGAGCTTGCTTTGACTGTCAATAAAAGCACTGTGCCTTGCACCGGGTGCTGCTCTCACTTTCCTGCCCAGCAAGGCAGGTGTGCTGTAGGGAGGGGTGTCTGTGGGTCCCTGAAGGGATGGCATGGGTGACTCTGGGGGGGCTGAAGCCTTCAGATGAAAGCTGGTGTTTTTAAGAGCCAGCTGCTCTCATCACCGTAGCAAGGCACACGGCTCATGCCCACCCTGTGGCATCAGAGCTACAGAGGATGAGCGAGATCTGCTGCCCTGCCTGGGCATGAAGAAATTCCTCCATTGATCCTGAGGGCGAGTGCCTGCCCTCCCTCTAGTGCCATGCTTCATGCCATGCCTGCTGTCCTGCCCCAGGCTGGCACACATGCCAAGCCCTTCTCTGTGCTCACGTGTGTCCCTTGAACACATGTCCAGGTGCTTAGGCTGCCAGGGAAGGGCAACTCCCAGTTGTGTCACCCTGATGCCCCTGGTTATCAGTCACCCTGTGATACCCTGTGCCAGTGGAGATGATTTGCTGCAGACCTGCCTGTAGCTCTGTCCCCTGAGCCCAAGGAAAGGCTGAGGTGTTCCTGTGGAAGGACCAGACCTGGTGCAGTGGGGGGCCATTCTGGGGGGCACAGGGCTCAGGAGCCCCGATCCCCCCTTCCTGAGCCCCTGCCGGCTGCTAGGACCCAGCAGCTGTGCCCGTGGGACTGCCACGGGTGCAGGCAGTGCCGGGAGTGACAGCTGGTGCCATCCGCAGCTGGCGGGCTGCAGGCAAACAGGATGACGAGCGGTGACGGGAGCGGGGACGGGCAAGCGTGGCCTCACACAGGGCCGGCAGCCCTGCTCTGCTGTGGGAGCAACAGAACCAGCAACAGCAGCAAGCAGGACCCCCAGAGGAGAGGAGCATCGCCCATCTCCCCAGGAGCAAAGGTGCGCTGAATCTCACCCACCCTGGGGGCCCCTGTGGCCAGAGCAAGAGGGTTGGGACAGGCGAGTTGTGCTGTCCCACCTCAGGACATACTGGTGCCATTGGAGAGGGGGGATGGGGTCCCTGGCAGGGCTGGGGACAGCCTGGGGGGCAGCTTTGGGAGAGCCAGGGTGATATGACTTCACTGGCTACCTCTCCCTCCTCCAGCACCGGGGAAGTGTGCTGGTTGTCTCTGTGTTTCTCTGTGGCTCTTCTCCATTTTGGTTCGTTCCCTTCACACCTGCTTCTGATCCCAACAGGCAAGGAGAAGGTAGCAGCCATGGTTGTGATGGGGTTACCCTCTCTGGGACACAGGAGAAGAGCCCTTGCTGCCCGGGCACCAGAGCTGCTGGCTTAGCCCTGGAGGGGGATGCCGAGCTGGACGGGGTCAAACACCACGGACAGCCTAGAGCTGCTCTCCATCCCTGAACACTCCATTGGCCAGGAGGTGGTGGGCCTCTTCTGCATGATCCTGCTCACCCTCACCGCCCTAGTGGCCAACATCGTGGTGATGGTCATCATCCTCAAAACGCCCCTTTTCAGGAAGTTCATCTTTGTCTGCCACCTCTGCGTGGTCAATCTCCTCTCAGCCATTTTCCTCATGCCCCTGGGGATCATCTCCAGCTCCTCCTATTTTAACTGGGTTATCTACAGCATAGCTGAGTGCAAGGCCGTGATATTCCTGAACATCTGCTTCATCAGTGCCTCCATTCTCACCATCTGCATCATCAGTGTGGAGCGGTACTACTACATCATCCACCCCCTGAGGTATGAGGTCAAGATGACCATCAGGCTGGCGGTGGCTGGAGTGGTTTTCATTTGGGTCAAGTCTGTTCTCATCACTGTCTTGGCACTAGTGGCATGGCCTCATGGCAACGGGGCCACCAGTGCCAGCCGCTGCACGGTCTACTGGAGCCCCGGGGCCCACAAGAAGGTTTTTGTGATCCTCTTCAGCATCACCTGCTTTATTCTGCCCACCATCATTATCCTCGCTGTCTACTCCAGCATCTACCGTGTGGCCCGGACTGCGTCCCTGCAGCAGGCACCCGTGCCAGCACAGGCAGTGGCAGCCAGACACCGATGTGACTCCATCGCCAGCCAGGTGACCATCCTCACTGCCTGGATCCTGATGCTGCCCAGGCTGATCCCAGATCGCCTTCTGGGAAGCAATAAGGCCATCCTCACCTTGGTGCTCATTGTGGGACAGTTCTTGTGCTGCTGGCTGCCTTTCTTTGCTTTCCACTTGCACTCCTCTGTCCCTCTTGCCACTGTGGGTGGTGGGCACGGGGAGATGGTGGTCACCTGGATTGCCTACTCCTCCTTTGCTGTTAATCCTTTCTTCTATGGGTTGCTGAACCGCCAAATCCGCGAGGAGCTGGCCCGGCTGCGGCGCAGCTGTCTCAACCATCCGCTTGGTCAGGAGCTCTGTCTTACCATCTCAGAGGCTTCTGTGCAGGAAAACTTCTTGCAGTTCCTCCAGAGAGCAACTTGCACACTGGAGATGCACACCAGCTGCATCAGCCCCAGCCCCAGGAACAGGCTGGACCAGACCACAACAAGCTTCCCCACCCCAAGTCAAGTTCCTGGGGAAGAGAGCAGCTGAGAGGGAGGATCTGTCCCACTGTGCTGGGCAGGAGACCTGCCAGGGACCCATGAGCCCTGCTTGGACCCAATCTCTTGGATTTGAAGGAGTCCTTGTGCAGGTTTTGCCTCTTCTCTGAGCTTATGTTGAAAGGTGTTTTCTCTGCTGGGCGAAGGTAGCAGATCTGAGGAAGTCACATCTCTCTTCTGCAGGCTGGAATTGTCTCTGGCTCCAGCACAGCCCAGTTCCAGAGATGGGCTCTCCTCAGGACATGGGGTGCCAGGGGGCTCCTGCACAGGGGCAGGGGATGGGACACCTCCATCTCCATCTCCATTGCCTGGGTGGGAGCACGCCTGGCCGACGGGAAGGGCCGATGTCCCCTGATCCAGGGGCAACATTCCAGCTAATGCCACTAACACCAGTAACACCAGGGCCCAGCCCCTGCTGAGCCTGGATGGCAGACACAGAGACTTCCATCCTTGGCTATTTAACCCAAAACTAATGTCTGTGTGGAGGAGATTCTGCTCCCTGTGACACTGATCGGGGGACACACCCACAGGGCTGGCTCTGGCTGTGTCACTGTTTGTCCTGCTGGCATGGCAGCATGCAATGCCTGTGGCCACGCCTGGCCATGCCCTCTGTCCCTCTCAGCTGGCAGGGATCACCCCCCTGGGGGGGAACTGGCTGTCTGGGGGTCCATACCGGGCTGTTTATGGACACAGCTGCCCAGTTTGAGGCCTGGTCAGCAGTGGCACGTGCCAACTTGGGCTGCCAGCCAAGGGCATGCTGGGTTGGACTCGGTGACACAGGGTGGTGGGGGTGGCTGTGTGGGCTGCCCCAGGGTAGCAGCAGCCAGAGGGGATCAGGACCTGCTGTTCCTCTTCAGTCTCATTGCTTTTGAAGGGCCTGGGGACTCTCATAGGGTCCCCGCTGCTGGAAAGGGGACTGGACCCTTTTGGGGAATGCTGCAGGAGTACATCACCCTCTGCCTGCCCACAAAGGTCCCAGGGATGGTGTTGGCATGGTGGGTTGCCAACACCAGAAGTAACTGAAGGCCTGAGGGAAAACTGCCCTATGGCCTCCCTGTGGCAAGGAGGGGCTCCAGGAAGACCCCTCAGAGAGATGGGGCTAAAGGCCAGCATCCCCCCCTAGACACAGGGATGTCTTTCCATCCACCACCCAAGTACCCAGGAGCTGGGGCCACCTCTGCTCTGGGGGAAGTCTCCACCCAGGGTAGGGAATATTATTATTATTATTATTATTATTATTGTCATTTTCTTGTAAATTTTATCTTTTTATTAAACCATTGATAAGTTACAAAGGAGGAAAAAATATAGACTCATATATATACAGCATTTCCAAGCCAGCAGGGACTGGCTCTTGGATGGGGTTGGCCCAGGGTGGCCCAGGGAGGGCCCCCCACCAGAGCCAGTGGAAGTGGGACTCCTGGAGAGGCCAGGCAGCCCTCATCCAGTGGGACCTGGCTTTGGGTGCCAGATGGAGTGTGGGCATGAGCAGGATGGCAGGGGAGGCAGGGTGAGGAGCAGGAAGTAGGGGTCCCACACCAGCACAGGGCACTGGGAGAAGGGACCCTAGGCCAGCAGGGACAGCCCTCCCACCCGATACTGGGACACATGGTCTCTGTGCAGAAAATCAGGGAGGGGGGCACAGAGCTGCTGGGATGGACAGCAGGCAACAAAACTGCCCCTTCCTCCAGCAGGCATCACCACCAGGAAGACCCTTCCCTTCCCTGGGGTGGAGGACATGGGGCACCTGGCAGAGGCTGAGATCAGGGTGGGTGGCAGGAAGGTGTCCCTGCTACTGAACAGCACCCTGTACCCCCTGGCCCAGCCACCAGTGGGGTTCAGTAGGGCGAGAACTTCTGCCGGTCAGCTTTCTTGGTGCCGTTGGCCGCCGAGATCTTGGTCGTGTAGGTGGTGGTGCCACCATTGGGACCTGCCACGGAGGAGGGGGACAGTGCCAGGAAGGACACGGGCTTGAGGCCGATGAAGTTGGAGAGGGAGATGGCATAGGGGGTGCCCAGCAGGGCCGGGGGCGCTGGGGCCACGGCGGGGAGAGCCGCACCGGAGCCTGGGGCGAGGGGCTGCGAGAAGCCCATGCCGAGGTCCATGGAGCCAGGGCCCGGTGGCACCTGGGAGGTAGATTTAGCAGTCTCTAAGCTGGGGAAGAAAGAGAGAAGGATGATGGTGAGTACCATGGTGACAGAGTTGTTCTCCCACCACAAGCTTGGGGTGCAGGAGCTGTGCACCCCATCCCTTCTGGCACAAGTATTCATGGCACATCCTGGGTTAAAAAACTGGGCCTCAGATCTGGTGGGTCATGGGTCCTGCCACCTCAGCATCTCAAAGCACCACCCAGCTCATTCTTCCTGAGGATGCTGTGGATCCTCCCAAAGCTGCCTTGGGGTGCTGGTGAAGAGCCATCCCTCAGTAGCACCCACCATGAGTCCCCCAAGGCTGACACCTACCAGGCTGTGATGAGGTACTGAGCCAGGGTGATGCTGACAGGGGTCCCTGTGATGGTCACGTGCCGCTCACTGGAGCCCTCGGTCTGGTTGCCAATCTTTATGTGGGCACCTGACATCTGCCTGATCTCGCTGATCTTGCTGCCGTGCCGGCCGATGATGCAGCCGATGAGCTGAAAGGGCAGGGATGGCATGGGATAGGATGGGATGGGATGGGATGGGATGGGATGGGATGGGATGGGATGGGATGGGATGGGATGGCATGGGATGGGATGGGATGGCATGGGCTGAGCCAGGGCAGATTGCCAAGCAGGGAGCTCCAAGGGGCTCACCCAGACACCACCTACACCTCGGGAGTGAAACTGTGGAAGGCACTGGGACGGCAGGACACTGCTTTCCTTGAGCAAACCCTGCTTTTTGGTCTCACCTAAGACCCTCTTGCTGGCATTGTGTCACATGCCAAGGCATTTCCTTGGCAAACTCTTCCCACTATCCTGTTTTTCAGTTTCCCCTGTTTTTCAGTTTCCCCACTTTCTTCTGCCTCAGCTACTCCCTCCTGCTCCTAAGCTCTGGCAGAGCCTCCACTGTGTGTGTCAGTGGGTGGCCCCTTGTCATTCCCAGATCAATACATACGTCATTGGGCACCAGGAACTCCTGGGAGCTGCTCTGGGAGCTGGCATCCAGACCTGGAGAGAGAGACAGGGATGGCAGCAATGAAGGGGCAGCTCTCCAGTAGCTCTGTGCCCTTACCCCAGCCCCATACTGGGATGGTGAGCGGCCCTGAGGACAAACCTGGAGGATTGCTGGGGAGAGGAAAGGAAGACAGGACATAGACACAAGGCATAATTTGGTGCTGGTGCTCTCCCACTGCAGGCCTGGGGAGCACTGGTGGGTGCAGTGACCCAGGAAAACAATGGCAAGGTCGTGCTGGAGGGGCAGGTAGACATGCCGAGGGGGCTGGGACTGGAAAGGGTGCAGAGGAGGGAAACCCCTCTCATCAGGGCCAGGTGTCAGGGAGGATCAGGAGGGGCACACCCAGCCTCGGGGGAGCATGGGAGATGCTCACCTGGCACCATAGTGGGTGCATGGCCCAGGGGGGCGAAGGGAAGCGCATGCCCTGACAGCTGCTGCAGCTTTGTCACCTGCCCAGACAGTGCCAAGAGGAGGAAGGTGGCGTTAGGGGTGATGGCAGAGTCAGCTGTGCCCCAGTGCCTTCCAAGGCAGGCATTCCCAGCAGCACCCATCCTGGTGAGCACAGACCCCATTGCCTCATGGACAGACTCACCTCTGCAGGAGAGACCCCGCTGTACTGGCCCTGCATGGAGAAGCCCTGGGGAGAGAAAAAAAGGGCATCAGTGGGGAGCCAGGTGAGGACCATTGTCTCATGTCACTCCCCCCTGGGGCAGAGAGACTACCCTGAGCCCACCAGAGTTGCCCCTTGCTGGTAGAGGCTGCCCTCCTGGCCACCTCATGCCCTCGGAGATGCAGTGGCCTCTTACCTGATTGGCAGAGAGCAGGATGGTGCCCAAGGACAGACCAGGGTGGTAGGGTATGGTGGCCCCCTTCGGAGGCGACTGGAGACAGAAGGAAGGAGGTGGAGGAGATGAGAGATGAATGCCCCTGTAGCCCCAAGGACCCTCTGCCCCCTTATGGCCCCAGCAAGCTGGGCACAGCCCCCAGCACTACAAAGGCAGAGTGCTCCTATGGGTTTCCACACAGGGCAACCCTGGTGTTTGGGTCCAGATGGGCATGGGAAGCCTTGGGGAGGGGGAGGTGGGTAGCAGATGCCCCCTGGGCTGGGCAGGGGGCTTGGCAGGTACCTCCAGGATGACAGCGCAGATCTGCCTCACGCACTGGATGATGGTGTCCGGCACCCCCGAGACCGTGACAGCCCGTTCAGTGGAGTTGGGCAGCAAGTCACCAGCCACCTGCACCTGTGCCCCTGTGCTCTGCAGGAAGCAGAGAGATGCTGGCATTCCCCAACAGCTCCCTGCCAGGGCTCAGCGCCTCACACCTCCCCTGTCCCCCTGCTGAGCCCCCAGGGCCCATTGCAGGACCTGCAGGGCGATGCTCCCTCTCCTGCATCACCTCCCTCAGCCCCTGTGGGACCGTGTCAGCCCCTACATCCAGGGCTCTGTGCCCCCAGGGGGAAAAGGGGATCCCCCCTCCAGGCTGCCCTCAGGCTCACCTCCCGGATCTCCCGGATCTTGGCTCCTGCCTTGCCGATGAGGGAGCCGCACTGGCTGGCGGGGATGACGAGGCGCAGGGTCACCGGGGCTCTGCCTGCTGACACCCCATCGCCCCCTGCTCCCAGATCCTGTGAGGGATGTGGGATGCAGCATCAGACCCGAGGATCCCACAGGTGTGGGGGCACCTGGTGGGGATTTAGGAGGGCTGTCTACCTCCTCCAGCTTGAAGGCGATCATGGAGACAGCGCGGAAGACGGCGTCGGTGGAGCCGGTGATGGTGGTGATGCGCTCGGGGCAGGACCCTTCCGAGATAGTGATGCGTGCAGTGCTCTGGGGACAGTGTCACACCCCGTTAGGGCTGTCACAAGCCCTGTGCTTCAGGACTTCCCCCAGGGATAGCCTCACAGGGGGATACTGATGCCTTCCCACCTGCCCCAGGCAGCCTTCCCAGGGGTGCTGCTTTGTTTTCCCTAGTTCCACCTGGGATTTAGGGGGGCAGGCACGTGGGAGCTGCCAGGTACAGGCATGACAGGCAGCAGGACCTGGCAGCCCACCAGCATGCCCTTACCTGCTCTCGTATCCTCTTAACAGTCTCTCCTTTCTGCAGATAAAGGAACAGAGTGGGTGGTCAGATCCAGGGGGGCCAAGTGCTGGCAACACACAGGACCCCAAATCTTACCTTGCCGATGATGCTGCCGATCTCCTGAAAAGGCAGAGAAGAGTGGCACTGTCAGGAGGTGGCTCCCTGCATGCCACATCCCTCCTCTGCCCACAGCCTGGCAACAGGCAGACTCTGCCCCAGAGACACTGGTGACTTAACTAGTGACACTGGGGCATGGGAATGTGCCCCTCCCTGGCTTAGGATGGGGAGAGAAATCCTTCTGGGAATGCTATTCCCAGGGGAGACTGCGAGCATGGCAAGAAAACAGGGCACAGAAAACAGGGCCTGGTGAGGAGCTGGAGCTCCAGCTAGCCCCTCAGCCCAGGCATCGCTGTCCCCTCAGTGGCACTGAGCCCCCTGGCATTACCTTGCCATGCATGAGCATGCGGAGGGTCAGGGTGATGCTGAGCTCTGTCTCCTCGGGACTGCCACCCACGCCACTGGCTCCGTCCGGCGATGCCATGGCGGGAGGGCGAGATGAGCCTGTGGGACACGGTGGTCTTCAGAAAAGGGACATGCCCCAGCTAACCCCCCACCCCCAGATCTGCAGCTTGAATATCCTATGGCTGGGGAATGGCAAACTGAGGCAGGGGCAGAACTGTGCCCTCCTCTGGCAGGCGAGGCTCACATGGCCCCATGGCACCCCACAGGCACCCTGCACCCCCAGAAGGGACCCGCTGCTATGTGTGTGCCTGAGCTGCCTCCAGGCTGTCCTGCACAAAGTCAGGAACTGGATGGATGGATGGATGGATGGATGGATGGATGGATGGATGGATGGATATAGGGGGAGGAGGCAAGGCGTGTGGAGCGTGGCTGAGGGATAGAGTTCTGTTTGCAAAGGCAAACAGTGGGGAGAACAGAGGTGGCCTGGGTGGTCTCACAGGCTATGCAAGCCACCTTCTTTCTCCTCCTCCCTTCCCCGTGCCCATGCACAAAGCCCCAGGGGACACTGAGGCAAGCTCCTAGATGGGGACCACCCCAACCAAAGCACAGCATGATGCCTGCTGGCTGTCGCGGCTGCACCGTGTCCCCTCCTGGAGCTCCCCAGGGCCCCCGGACCGTGTGCCCGGGCGGCCGTGGGCGGCCGGGGCCCCCGGGAGCCGGACAATCAGTGTGTGTGCAGGCCCGGGTGGGCGGCTGCGGCACCGCTGGCTCCCGGCGGGCTGGGCGATGCCAAGCAGCTTTGAAACAAAGCACCCGTGTTGAGGCTGGGGCCGCGGCCGCGGGCATGGCGGGGGGGGGCGGCTATTTTAGGTGCTGGCAGGACTCGTCACCGCTACAGCACATCTCCTGCATCAGGGGAACGGGGGGGCGCAGCCCCCAAGCGCCGTGCCCGCACCCCCGGAGGGGTTTGAACACCCCGTCTGCACCCCCCGTTACCGCGGGCTGGGGAAAGGTGGAGACCCTGGAGAGGGGGAATATTGCCGATCCTGGTGCAGGGAGCCCGGAGTGGGGCGGAGGGGGACGGAGGGAGGGATGCACCCTGCCCGCGCAGCCGGAGAGGTGTGGGGTGCCGGCAGGGACGGCCAGGGTCCCCCATTCCCCTGGGATGAATGGCAGCAGGAGCCCGCCAGGGACAAAGACCCCGCCGCGGGAAGAGGGATGAGGCTGGCGATGGGACGGGGGATCGCAACAGGGCCACGGGTGTCCCCCCCCGCCACAGACAACGCCTGGGGGGTCTGCGGGCAGGGGGCTCTCCCCCAGGTGAGGCAGGCTGGCAGGGACGCCAAAGGCCCCGCTGATGGGCACAGGCCACCTGCCATGGCTGGCACTGGGACAGCCACCAAGCTGGGCACCGCCCGTCCTTCGGGGCACCTTCGGGTGACAAAGGGAGGGGGGACGACAGGAGGAAGCCCCCACCCCGTCCCTGGGGAAACCTCTCAGTTCTCGCCCTCCCGGTGCCCCAAGCCCCCTGGTCCCCGCGGGAGTGGGGCCGGGCGGGTACCTTTGTGTGCGCCTCGTCCCTCCACCGCCGGCCGCCCCTCTCAGTGCCACATTGTCCCCGGCGGCGCCCAGTGACACCCGGGGCAGGAACAATGAGCCGCTTGACAGGCCAGGGCCAAGCTGGCAGCCCCGGCCCCCACCCCGGTCCACGCCGGGGCCCCCCTCGCTCTTCCCCTCTCCCACATCCCTCCCTCCGGGATCCTATTACAGCGGATAAGAGACACTAAAAGGAACAATGCACCCTGGGTAAGGCCATCTGCCACCGCTGGGGACATTCCTGGCCCCCCCGGCCCCCCTCCCTTTGGCTCACACATCGCCCCTCTTTGTAATTGCGTGGTTTTTTTCCTGGAAGCCGATCAGCTGGCAGGGCTCGAGGGCTCAAGGACACCGGAGCGGGCAGGGATGGGGCAGCTGGCACCCCAAGGCCCGCTGGCACCCCGGGCTGCTGCTGCGGGGTGGTGCCTGCAGGGGCAGGAGGCAGACGTGAATGGGGGGGTCGGGGCAGCAACAGGGGAGCTGAGCCATCTGGGGGGCCAGGGATGCTCCATACAGGGGTGCTGCCAGACTGCCAGGGCAGAGACCAGCTCCTGCACCCCAGGCACTGCCTTGTGTCCCCCACACGGGCATCCTGCACCCACAGAAAAGTGCCCCCCCGCCCCTTACCTCCCCCACTAAATCCTCCTGGGCCCTGGCGTAAGCAGCTAAAGCCAGGCAAGCTTGGGGAAGGGGGGGCACTGGGGGGGCACCCTGCTGCCGGCTCCATCTGTGCCCCCGAGTGCCCGGTGCAGCAGCACCAAAGGCAGAGCAGGCAGGGGGCAGGCAGGGGTCTTGTCCCCTGTCTGTCCAGCCTCCCTGCCCACCCCCTCATCTGTCCATGGCAGCAACTCTTTGGGTAAATCACCCCATCTCCCCAGGGTGCTGGGCACGGGCAGGAGCCTCCCAGGCCTGGCAGCTCCCTTTTAAGCCCCTGTGGATTACCCTGGACTTGGGTGCATGCCAGGAGGGGTAGGAGGAGGAAGAGGAGGATGAAGAGGAAGCTGGCCAGCTGGGGACACGGATGTCACTGCCTTGGGGGACTTACCTGTCCCTGAACACAGCCCCAGGGCTCCCTGGGCACTCTCTGAGGTTCATGGGGGTCCCATCAGGAGTGATGGGTGGGCTCCAGCAAGGCTGGCATCACCCATCCACAATCCCCAAATGTGCCATCCCTCAGTGGCTGCAACTTCCCTGCTGTCACCCCCCAAACCTGTGTGCAACAGCAGCCATGGAGGTTGGGGGAAGGAGGTGGGAAAGGTGGAAAAGAAGCAGGATGAAGGTGGCAGGAAAGCAGTGGCAGAGCTTGGGGTTTTATTTGGTCTCAGGAGAGGTGGGTGCTGGTGTGGGCCAGTACAGTGTGAGTGCCCAGGCTGGCACAAGGGTGCATGTGCAGAGGGGTGGGTAGGCTGGTCACATCCTCCTGCTCTGTGGTCCCATCCTGCTCACTTCAGCTGCTGCAGGAAGTCCAGGAGTCCACGGTGCCACTCATTGGGCTTGTCCAGGTAGCAGGCATGTCCTGCACCCTGCAGCAGCAGCACCTGGTGCTCAGGGAGGTGCTTCAGGTTGTTCAGACTGGTCTGCCCCAGCTCTGCATCCTGGTCCCCGTACACGATCAGCGTGGGGGTCTGTAGAGGGGGAAAGCACCCTGAGCCTGCAAGTGTCACCCAGACAGGCATTTGCTCCTCCTTGCCAGGGACACCCTGGCGGGGAGTCACTTGCCCTTCTCCCCCACCCAGTATGACAAATGGAAACTGAAGCTCAGACTCCTGGGTCTCCAGTTGTCCCTTCTTTACTTCCCACTACCCCACATTTACATTCCTTCATCATCAGGTTCTGCTCTTTCAGTGGCAACAGGGTTCCTGGCCTGTTTGGCCTTTCCCCTGCTCAACCCCAGTGCCAGGGTCCCCTCTGCACCATCTCCTCCCAGTTCCCTGCCCTCCCCAGTGCCCTTCCAGGCCGTACTTTGATCTGGGCATACTGCTGCGCCGTGAATTTCTCAGTGCAGATGGGTGCCACAGGTACATAGGCCTTGAACAGCTGGCTGTGCTCTAAGAGGCAGGGCAGCGAGTACATGCCACTGAGCGATGGGCTGATCACCACAGCTGGACCCAGGTCCAGAGCCTCTGAAACTGCCTTCAGGAACGCTGCCGGTGCTGGCTGGCCCACGGGAGCTGGGGCCACAGCATCCTTCGAGCGCCCCAGCCCTGAATCGTGCGAGACACAAGTGGCCCTGTCAGGCTCCACACTGCCTCAACGACAGGGAGAAGCCAGCTCAGCAGAGCAGGACACGGGTGTTGCCATCCTGGCACCACAAACCAGTGGCTACCCCGCCTGATAGGGCTGGGCTCACCACACCTTACCCGGCAGGTCGATGGCCACGGCTCGGTAGCCATTCTCGGCCAGCGTGGCCAGTGTCCCCACCTGCAGCCAGGTTTCGGAGGAGAAGCGGATGCCATGCAGCAGCAGCACGGTCAGCCTGGGCACTGCCTGGGCCGGCTCAGCTCGGCGGTAGAAGAGGCTCTGTCCTTGCACCGTCACGGTGCTCTCGGTGACCCGCGGGGCGGCCATGCCTGGGGACCCGGGCGCTGTTAACTGGGGTGACAGGTGGGGACGGGAGGGCTGACGGACCTTCTGCCCGGTGGTGGTAGGAAGGCACAAGGGCTGTGAAGGGTCACACCGGCATCATCTTCACTGTGGTGGCACCACCGGGGTCACCGATGTGCCAGGCGGCCTCAGGGGCCCGCCCCGTCCATCGCTGGGCCTGCAGCCCTTACCTGCTGCTCCGCACACGGGGCCGGCCGCCGCTCGCCTCCTCCCCGCCGCACCACGGCACTGGGGGTGCCGCGCCCCGGGGCCAAAGAGCGGCGGGGCGGGCGAGAGAACGGCGGCACCGCGTCATGGAGCGCAAGGTCCGGGGCGGCCCCGGGAACCGCTGGGGCCCGCCGGGCCGGGCCCTGCCCCGCCGAGCGAAGCCGAGCTTTCCCGAGCAGAGCCGAGTATTGCCGAGCGAAACCGAGCCCTACCCGAACTCTACCGAGCCAGGCCGAGCGCTGTAGACCAGGGCCCGAACTCTGCCCTGCAGTACCGAGCCCTGCCCGAGCTGTGGCGAGAGCCGCCGAGCCCTTGACGAACATAGCCGAGTTCTGCAGAGCTCTGCCAAACTTGGCCGAGCCCCAGCCTATCGCCCGAGCCGGGCTCCGCTACGAGCCCCGGCCGTTGAGTCCTTCGGGGCAGTAGTGCCGCGGGCTGCCGCCAGGCGGGGCCCGAGGGCGCAGCGGCGCCGTGCGCGGCGGGCCGGGGGCGGCAGGGCCGGGGCCGAGCGGGGCCGGTGGAGCCGGGCGGGGGCTCGGGCTGGGCCGCAGCTGAGCAGAGCAGCGGGGACCGGGACCTGTTTCCCCGCAGCAGCCGGGCTGGAGTCCCGCAGCCCCGCGCAGCCGCTCTCCTCCAGCAGGAGCGGAGATGCTGCTTGCCCGCAGCCGGCTGTGGCTGCTGCTCCTCGGGACGCTCCTCGCTCTCCTCCTGTACC